TCTTGATTTTTCAACACCCCCCCCCCCCCTTTTTCCCCCCCCCCCCCTTTTTCCCCCCCCCCCCCCCCCCCTTATTTTGATCATCTGTCATTCTTGTCAAACATCATCACTCTGTCTGTGTGCAGCCAGAAATAACCACACGGACAGACAGACAAAAAGGACAAACTATGCAGATAAACAGTGACAACGATGCCGTGTAAAGAGACAGAGAAGCAGACGGAGGTGTGAGGACTGTGAGGGCCTGATTGAGATGGATCAGAGCAGAAGAGTATCAGGGACACCTTATTTTTAGAGTGTAATCCCAGTGGCCTCCTCTTAGCCTAGCAACAGGGCGAGAGAGACAGACACAGACAGAGAAACAGAGAGAACCGCATCTCTCACTTCTGACTTGGAGGGGAACTAGTTATCTAGTGCAGCACAGTAGGCCGTGGCCTAGAACCAGAGTACAAACACACGTACACACAAAACGGCTCAGGCAAAATGGCAACCTGCGCTATCTTTGTCTCCTTAGCTTCGTCCTGAGGCGACTGCTGTGTGCTACACGCACGTCCAACACGACGCAACACGTCACCTGCTGGTCAGCGAGTGCCGTCGTGATCGTGTGCATTCAGCCGTCTCTTATGTGCAGATATCTTTCTCTGGGGACGGATTCAGTTTAATTTGTTTGTCCTGAACTACAGCTTTATTTATTCCTGTATTCTGACCAGGCGGCAACCGCCAATTCTGAAAAGTGAAGCCGTCTTAAAGTGTCTTAAAGCTGCATTCTCTCTAGTGACCACCAGGGGGCGACTCCTCTGGTTGTATAGAAGTCTATGAGAAAATGACTCTACTTCTCTCTTGATTTATTACCTCAGTAAACATTGTAAACATGAGTTTATGGTCTCAATCTCTAGTTTCAAGTCTTCTTCAATACAGCATGATGTTCATTTAGTACATTATGGTCCATTTAGAGTCAAACAGACCATAAAGCAGGGGATGCTTTAGGGCGGGGCTACACAGTGATTGACAGGTCTCTACCAGAGACGTATACGGCGTCTCTACGTCACTCCTCCTCAGTCCAGATATGGTCACTTCCTGTTCACTGGTTGCAAGAATCCAAGATGGCGACGGCCAAATCGCCAAACTCAAGGCTTCAAAGCTACAGTCCACAAACCGATGGGTAATATCACGATGTCCTCTTCTTATATACAGTCTATGATTATGATGGTTGCTCTTAATGATGAACCAACATATAATTATCACAAGAATCTGAAGCTCCCTTTAGCTCAGTTTTTGGAGGTAAGGCCCGGAACCTTTCTGTCCTGTTCTACTCTTTTAATGGTGCTTTGGGACATCGTTTTCAGTAAATATTCTGTACTGTACACTGCCTGCTCAGCACCGACGTAAACACAGTGGAGCATTTAGTGGCTGAAGAGATATATTTAGCTCAGGAGCAGGTGGACACACAACAGCTAAAAGTGTAAATATTCGACTTAAGCTCAAATGGCGGCTTTAACTTTAGCCCTATCAATGATGTAAGGTGATATATTTAATGTGATGTCAAACAGACCCAAAAATCAATGCTTGCAAGTTTAAGGATCTTTGTTTTGTCATCTGTGCAGTTCTGTATCCGTTTCCATCCATTTATTTAAAGTACATCAAATATACTTCTACGTCTTTTCTCCATAATCCTCTCTGCTCTTCCATCTACCTTTTTCCATATTACTCCCTCCCTCATCTTCTTCCTCCCCCACACACACTTTCACCTCGACACCTCCTGCTCATTCTGCACAATCCTCTTCCACTCCCTCCTTCCCTCCCCCCTTCCTCGCCTCCTTCCTCTGCTTCCCTTCGTACCTGCGGAGACGAAGAGGATGCCGGAGCTGAGGATGATGTTGTGGCGTGACTTGTAGAACTCGCTGGCGGCGATGCACAGCCCCCCCATGAAGAGCAGGATCACACTCATGATGGGGAAGATACTGGAGGCTCGGACAGCACCTGGACACACACACACACACACACACACACACACACACACACACACACATCAAGGCAAAAATAGTCATTGTCATAATTATCTCCACTGGACACATGCTATAGATATTAATGTTATTGATTACCAAATGATAGATGATGTGCATACTTATTAAACCATGTGACTTCTATTAAAGGCTGATAAACTACGTCACTCGCACGGACCAAATAAAAACATTGTCGACGTTCAGCGTATCAGTGGTTTGCAGAAACACTATTTTTCGAGAGAATGTGGTGTATTTCTGTAGTTTTGGCCATTGTTCATATTGTTTATAATAACAATATACTGAGAAACATCACCGGAAAAAAAGAAACAACAAATATACACAATCAGCTGGTCAGATTTATTACATGTAACCAAACTTATAGAGATGATGACCAAAACAATACAATACACCGCAAAATAGTTGTGCTTGTCCTTATTGTCACCACTAAAGATAGAGTTATTGTTACATATAGTATGGATGACCAAATGATGGAGGATATGCGTGACAGACCTTTAAGTTATTAGTAATATATTGCTCCCAGTCAATTGGATAAAATGACATTTTAAAAAGAGTATATTCTGCATTTTATTACACAGCACCACGACTACTTCCCCCAATATTTCCTCGTAAAAAAACGTCCTGTTCTCGTTCCTTCCTCTCAAAGATCTCTCCGTTGTGCAGTGTGTCCACCTCTCCATCGCTCGCCTCCATCTCTCCGCCTGTCTCCTCCTTCCCCCCCCCCTATCTGTCCGTCCATCAGCTGTCTGTCTGCTCGCCCTCTGCGCGGCCGGTGTGCCGATGGGCCCTTGGGGTGGTCATGATGCCGCCGTGGTCACGGAGCTCGATCTGGTTTCTGAGGCGAACCAACGACACATTCCTGAACTTTTCATGCCGATACACTTTTCCTGCATGATTCTGCTTCCCTTTTTGAAGATATATCAGATTCTTCCTTTTTTCCCATCTTTAGTTCTCATTCTTTACAATAAGTAAGTTCAAATAAATTATTAAAGCTCATGTTTTTAAATGATATCTGTTGGTGTGTGTGCAGAGGACCACTAAATGCTCTGCTGTTGTTGCCGTTAACTGCTTTATTTTTAAGCGGAATCAGCAGCATTTTAAATGCAACATTAAGTGGGTGCTAATTAATGCAGTAGGTTGCAGAATCTAACCACAACCTAGCTTGAAGGATGATTCAATGTTGTCATTGTGTGTTTCTGCAAAAACCCCAAAATATGCTGAATGTTGATGTATCTGAACATATGAGCCTCGTGTCTCGCTTGCAGAAACAGAGGATGCTTGATGGTTAACGTGGGTTCAGGCAACAAAGGTACACATTTAAGGGTAGAAAAAAGTGAAAATTGTGTTTGCATTCAAATAATAATGTAACGCAACAACGTAGCATAACTAGCATAAATAAATAACAACCAACAAAACAGTGTCAGTTAAGACTTTAGCTTTTAATGAAGAGCGATACAAAAAAAGGCAACTTCGGTGGGAAACTAAAATTGACTAAATACAAAAAGATAAAGGGATAAAAGTGTAAAGAAGAGAAGAAAGCAGAAGACAAGAAGGTAGAAGACTGCAGGCCTCCACTTCTCTGTGAAGCTGCTTTGCCTCGAGCAATCTCTCTCTCTCTCTCTCCCTCTCTCTCTCTCTCTCTCTCTCTCTCTCTCTCTCTCTCTCTCTCTCTCTCTCTCTCTCTCTCTCTCTCTCTCCCTCTCTCCCTCTCTCTCATTCCTCTGCACTTGTGCTTTTTTCAAGCAGATGCCAGAGAGTTTAAAAGGAAGAATTTTTAACCCAATGCGCTAGCCTCCAGGCGCACCCCGCCAACCGAGCGCATCGCAGCTCAGAGACAAAGAGACGGAGAGTGGGGTGAGATGAAAGTGAGCGAGCGTCAGCAGTCGCAGCGTGCGGAGACGTCTTCAGGCTTCACATTCTAGCGTAGTGAAACATTTGTCTTTGCAGGCTGTTATTTAGCCTTCAGTATAAACCGAGTACAACTATAGTCCTTTATCTAAAAGTCCTGATTGGCTCATCGCGCAAGGAAGTACTGCATTTTTAGGTCTGTGTTATTGTAAAAAATATGGATAATATTTAAATCCCGGCGTGCATTTTGGGCTACGGCCACTAGGGGGTTCAGTGAGCGCATCCTGGCCACCGTACCTCAACTTTTTGTGCTAAAAGCGCCAATAGATGCACGTGATGATCGCTGCTTGATGAACTTCACAGTTCATTTTATTACAATTATTTTCAGAAGGGTGAAGATTTATGAACTGGTGGGATGTCTCTGCCACTGTATGAGCCAAATCCATTAACAGTGTGTGTATGTGTGTGTGTGTGTGTGTGTGTGTGTGTGTTTCTCAATCAATGAGAGTGGTCGCTGATAAACCACTGCAGTAAATTACCCACCTTTACCCCAAAACTATTATTACCATATCCCCGGTCAGCACAAGCACACCCTTGTAGTTTCAGTAACGCAGCTGAGGACATGGAGGACGATGGAGAAATTTTGAAAGCAATAAGCGATTTGTAATGTAATGTAATGTTTCCCCCGTCGAACCACGCAGAGCTGGAGGATTATTGTTTTACTGACGCTACTTTAAAGAGAGTTAGCTAGCGAGAATTTCTATCACTGAAACAGGAGGGAGTCTTGATGATGATGATGAGTGATTTTCCAACAATATTGGCCTCACAGTTAATCATAAATATCACTCGTCATCGGCTGTGTGACATGTCATTACACAAATGCGTAAACACACAGGTGGTAAAGAAGCTAATGAGCTTCTGTTTACTTTTGTGTTTAATTTTCTGTGCAAATTGACAAAAGTTAAGCAACACTGTGTGTGGCGTCCTGTCATCCTTGTACCATGTGAGTCAATATGTACTGTGCACTACGGCTCCGATATGGTAATGAGGCAGAAGGCAGAGCACGCACACACACACACACACACGCAGACACACACACACACACACACACACACACACACACACCAAAACGATCTCTTTCCTTTCCTCCGTCTCTCAAACCTTTTTTTAATTCTCTCTGTTACACTTTCAACTCCCCTCTTCATTTCTCCCACTGCTCGGTTGGTTCTGCTGCAGTGGTGTGTGTTCGTCTGGTTGTGTGTGTGTGTGTGTGTGTG